TCCCGCCTGAACCCGTCTGCCCCAGTCTGACCCTCCTGACCCATATGACCCTCCTGACCCATATGACCCTCCTGACCCATATGACCTGCCTGACCTGTCCTGCGGTACCGCAGCCGGGGCGTCTCACCTGTTGAACACCTTGAAGACTATGGCCAGCTGGTCAGAGATCCTCAGAGCGCCAACCTTACAGAGGCAGCAGAGGAACGCAGCGAAGGCCGCTTCATGACCTGAAGAGACAAACAGAACCGGGTCAGAACCGTCCTAATGTTTGGACAAACTGACCTCAACCTGGAAACACTTTAACCTTTAACCTGGAAGTGTTGGCAGATGGATAACATTTTTATTTTTTATAGATAAATAATGAAGCGAAACTGCAGCTGCAGTTCAGTGAAAGAACTTCTGACTGAGCGGAGGTTCTGATCCGGACCAGTACCTGTCCCATAGTCGATCCTGGTCGGGTTCCCGACAGCTTCCTTCAGGTAGACGGCGATCTCTGGAGCAGCGGCGGCTTTCTCTGCAGGCAGCACTGCGGCCACCAAGGCTTCGGCTTCCTGAAACGCAGACAGAACGTGATCCGAGCCCGAGATACGGACCGGACAGAGGTGGTTCTGACCCAACCTGCTCCAGCTTGGAGAACCAGGTTCTGTACGCCTTGTTGCCGAAACGGGACGGCTGGTCGACCGGAGGAGTTTCGTTTATCCACCGGTCCAGAGTTCCCAGAAGGCCGAGCAGCTTCTCCACCGTCTGCAAAACCAACAGAACCGGTTCAGTTCTGACCCGTAACCTGGTGCTGATGAAACCTGAACAGGAGAAATAAGATAACAGCTTCCTGCTCTCTGAGACAGAACCGATAGGAGAACCAACTGGTTCTGGAGAGTCCAGATGGACGCTAGCTCTCCTTTACGGAAATAAAACCAGAGGCGGACACATGCTAATGTGCTAATAGCATTAGCATGTTAGCTCACTGCATGAAGCTAACTTTGCTAAATGTTTCCAAAGTTTAACACTAAGCTAAAAATTAGCTCTACTTGTCACATCACCACTGTTACCTCATTTATGCACCAAATACTTCTGGAAGTATAGAGCGACTAACTTTATAGTTATCAGTTCCTGCTAATGTATAAAACTATTAAACGTTTAAAAATCTTTAAAAACATCTGATAAAAAGTAAAGTCACCTCAGAGACTTCGTATTCACACGTCAGCTTCTTCCCTTTCACTCCTTCGTTCAGGGTCAGGATGAAGCCCATGTAGTCAGCATAGGCCTGGACAGAACCAGAACCAGAACCTTTTACAGCAGCAGCTCTAATTTCTGTCTGGGAGTTTCAACAGGAAGGAATCGTACCTGAGAGCGTTTCCACTTCCCCATGTCCGGCACCATGCTGATTTCCTTCTTGGGGATGATGTAGGCGGTCCCGGCGTCAGGCGCCTCATCTTCAGGAGAAGATGCTGGAAAGAACCAGGTAGACATCATCTGATCCATAAGTTTTCACTATCAGCTGATCCAGATCCATAAGTTTTCACTATCAGCTGATCCAGATCAATAAGTTTTCACTATCAGCTGATCCAGATCAATAAGTTTTTATCATATGGTTCAGATCATTAAATCATTTTTGCAAACTGTATTTTGGTTTTCTAAGTTGCTTTTGGAGCTTCTTCCTCCCAGAGAGGCATTTCAGCCCATGTTGGTACAGGATTGGTTTCAGCCAGGATCTTCTGAATGTCTTCAGCTTTTCTTCCAAGGTTCATTCACACATTTCAAACCAGAACCGGTTCTTCTCTGGGACACAGAACCCGTCGATATCTGGCGTCTCCATCAAGTTTATAGCTGATTATAACAGAACAGATGAACCTGGAAACTGGATCCAACATGAGCGTCATCTGGCCTTTCCCAAATTGCTTAAAATGGATTTGATCTCAGTTTAGGTAAACTTCTGACTTTAAAACCTTCTCATTATTCTGACGTTCAGTAAATATAAATATAGCAATAATATTTCTCCGCGTTTTGTTAGAAGGTTAAATACTCTCACTTGTTTTGTATTTCCACCCAGAGAAAGCCTGATCAACCAATTTAATAATAAATAAATAAATAAATAATAAACAAATAGGGCAGGATATAATCTTTCATTTCCATGACAACTCATTTTTATGCATGTTGTGTTTTAATTAAAGCTGAATTATTTTCCTTCCAGCCGAACCAAACTGTATTTTTCTCCTTACTGCAGCTCGGTTCACAGCATCAACTAGAAGCTTTAAATTATCTAATTATTAAAATTATGCCGAATTTAACCGATAAAAAGGAGATTCAGCAGTGAAGTAATAATCGCTGTTTGATAACTAATGTGAAAGAGTTATAAATATTAAAACCTGAAATCTTTTCTGAACCAGTTCAGGTCAAAACAAGCAGCCAGATTAATGTCCATATAAACCAGTTTGAATTTGCAGCGGTAATATGTAGAAAAGCAGCGGAACTGCTGGGAGGAGAACCATTGTTCCCAGTTTAACAGCAGAACTGGAGACAGAGAGCAGAAACATCATATTTACCTGACTGCTGTTCTGTTTCCGCCATAGCGAGCCCCACTTTTCTTCTACGGTCTGTTCACAAGGTTTAAAACGTAGGTTTAAACCAGATGCAGCTCAGCACTGCCCTCCCGTGGCGGACATGCAGTACTACATCTAGAAATATAAAAATTCAATACTTAAAACTGTAAAATAATTTTAATTCTCTGATATTCACCATAGAAAAAATTACTGAAAGTCTCCCAGAGGAGATTACAAAATACTAAATAAGATTTTAATGCTCTTACAGTTAACAAAAGGTTTAGAGATGCAAGCAAACGAAACAAAACAATGTGTAAGTTTTTTCACTTCATAAAATTACTGTAATTAAATTAGATTTTAACTGAAGCCTTCAATAAGAATAATAAACAAATAAACAAATAAATAAATAATTTCAGAATAATTCAGAAAAATAAATTAATAAAGAAATCCATTAAAAAATAGATCAAGTGAAACAGATTAGACTAAAATTTCTTGTAATAAAACTGAAATTTGCAAAGTTACATCTTTAAATTGTAATAAATAACACTTGAAGACTCCATATGTATTTGAAGGAAAATAAGCTTTCTTATGTACTAAAATTACTGTACATTTTGGTGGACACATCTTCCACCAATAAACAACAATAAAGAAATTAATGTTCTATGATATTACAAATAAATACAGTGAGGAGGTAATAAAATGTTTATTCTAATAAAATAAAATGAGACACTGCTTTATTTATATCTATGTCTATATTTTATTATATTATTTAAATGTATTTTATTTCTCCTCCGTCTGGACAGTGAGTCTGTAGAATCTGCTCTGCTTCGTCTCGCTCCTCTTTATGACATGAGGAGTTTTTCTCTCCGCATTTGAGCAGCTCAGCAGGTTCCTCCAGATGTTCCTCGGTTGATTTTAGTTTCTTCTGAGGTTTTTCAGAAATAAAACCCCGAGCTGAGCGGCTGATCCTCCCCGGATTCAGGTCACAGTTTGTGGGCGTATCTGAGTAAGAATGTTGGCTTTTTGCAGCAGAACTGTGGTGAGTGGACCAACTCCAGCTAATGTAGCAGAAAAACTCCTTTATCTGCCGAAATATCTAAAGCTGACCAACATAAACTGCGTCTGTGACTCTTATTAAGAACTTATGGCTTATTTTAGCAGCTTTATTGACTCTTGACAGTTTAGGTTTTGGTGTTTTCTGACTGAAACAGAGCGCTGAAGTTTCCTAGCTCTTAGCTTAGCTCTCATTAAACTGAACGCAGCTAATTAGCTCGGGTGGCTAACAGGCTAACTGGGGGAAAGGTCAGTTTAACTGGGTTAACTGGGAATAAAACCAGCTGGAAGTCCTCCAGAACTTTATGGTTTATCTAACTGTTTATAAGATCCAAACGCTTTTATTGTTAAACAACATTCACCGTAATAATTTATTAGATTTGTCTAATTTTAGAGCTTTTTAGGCTATTTTTGATGTTTTTTTATTCAAATTAGGTTGCTTAAAACTGCTGAAAGCTTCAATTTATGTGTAGTTTTATTTTTTAAATCAAATTCTTGTTCTTTGTGAAACAGTAACTTTCAGATTACTGTTCCCTAATGCAGCAGCAGCTGTCATTCTGTGACCTTTACAGAAACAGTTTCTAAAAACTTTCCTAAAGGTCACAATGGAAACACTGGGAAGTACTAACATGAGGGGAACCTTTTAGGGAACTTTATGAACATGAGCAGCATGTTCCCTACTATAAAGCTTAAATGTTTTCTGTTTTACTCTTTACTGAATTACCTGAAGCTGTTCATTCAGCTGTTCCTATTTTAGGAATGTTCCCTGATGTTCCCTAAAGGTTCCCTGAACTTTTTTTTTGCAACTTTCACTGTGTGACCATTTAAATAATTAACTTGCAGATAATTATTCTCGTTAGGATTTCTAAATGTTAGAAAGCTTCTTTGACCTACAGGGAACTTTAGGGAACTTCATATAAAGTTTTAACTGTTTAAAATCCAGGGAACATTCTCTGAAGGTTGAATGTTTTCTAAAAGCTACACAATGAGAAATGTTTCAGCAAATGTTTTCTGAAGGTTGACTGAAAGTTAATTTCTACTTTCATGTGGTATTTTTATGTTATAAATAATCATTTTAAGTGATTGTAAGTTGAGATTTTGTGTGGATAAAAGGTATCAAATGCATTTGTTTTCCCAGAGATCATGGCTGCCTGTGGATTAAATGTTTCTGTGAATGTTGTTAAAGCTGACCTTCAATCCACAATCAGGGAACCTTCTGGGAACAGTTTCACAGGGAAGAAGATTCAGGAAAAATTAATTCACCTCAGCTGATGAATCAATGTTTATTTCAACACCTGATCAGTTCAACAGGGGAGAACCGTTAGCATGTTTAAGAGTAGAGCCGTTGTTAGCATGTTTAAGAGTAGAGCCGTTGTTAGCATGTTTAAGAGTAGAGCCGTTGTTAGCATGTTTAACGGTCACAGGTCTTCCTGTCTCCAGGCTGGCATGGTGAGGCCCTGCGGCTTCGTGAAGCCGCGTCACCTGGTGAAGCCCGTCTCTGCCACCCGGGTGGCCGGCAGGTACCTGAGCCACCAGAGGGGGCTGCCGAGCCTGCCGGTGCCCCCGCTGCAGCAGACCTGCGAGCGCTACCTTACGGCCCTGGAGCCCATCGTGGAGGCGGAGGAGCTGAGCCGGACCCGGCGGCTGGTCCAGCAGTTCCAGGAGGCCGGCGGCGTCGGGGAGCAGCTGCAGAGAGGCCTGGAGAGACGGGCGAGGGACACAGAGAACTGGGTACGCCCAGAGCTCAGGCTGTTAAACTGCATCAATAGATTCTCCTTCTGTAGAGCTGAACTCAAACTGTAACTGATAGAATTAAGGCAACGGTTTTCACATATTTAATTTGGTGGATTTTATTTGGTATTTCTGAGTAGAAATATAAAGTTTTACATTTAAAAACAGAAATGAGTTCAAGTCCCAACAGTTTTAAATTAATTAAATCAAAATGAATTAAAATCCAACAAATCTTTGAGATGATCTGACTTAAAGGGGCACATTACGCAAAACTCACTTTTTTCACATTTTCTATTTCTATTTGAGTCGCTACAGCTTCTAGAAACAGTCCAAGCACTTAAAAACATGTTGTTGTTTCTTTGGCAATAAGTTAATGTTTTGTGGTATCTGGCAAACAAACCATCTCAAAAACCTCCCAATTGTTGAGTCAGACTGTGCTGTTACCTAGCAACCCCAGCTGAGCTCCAGCATGTTTGGTTAGCTGTACAATGTACAATGGCTGCTGGAAAAGACAAGAGTTTTGTTGTTGACTTACCATCCAGAAACCACTTGCTGCATTCTGGTTGGTTGTGCAGGAGGCTCTACTAATGCTTTTCAAAGATGTACAGTTGTATAAATGCAGATCTGTTTGCAGCCATTTTCACATGTGAGTGTAAAAGTTGCGTTGGGGGAGTGGCCAGCAGCAGATTATCTGGATTTAAATTCATGAACTTCCTCCCTTAATTTTCACATCTTTTCATCCTGGAAAGATCTTGAAAGTCCTTGAATCCCATGGCTTCCTGCACGTTTTCCAACCTTCCTGTGGTTCTGCTCGCAGCTCTCCCAGTGGTGGGTCCAGGTGGCCTACCTGGAGTACCGGCTGCCGGTGGTGGTCCACTCCAGTCCAGGCCTGGTTCTGCCCAGGATGGACTTCAGGGACAAACAAGGACAGATCAGGTGAACAAACAAACAAACAAACAGTTTCTACTGATCCTGGTGTTGGGCTGAATTTCCCTTTTAGAGGAACGTACCTGAAATAATTTACTTCTCAGAGAATCAACCTGTGGTTTGTTCTTCATTCTATTTGTTAATTGTCCTGTCTCTCTCTCTGTCTCTCTCTCTCTCTCTGTCTCTCTCTCTCTCTCTCTCTCTCTCTGTCTCTCTCTCTCTGTCTCTCTCTCTCTCTGTCTCTCTCTCTCTCTCTGTCTCTCTCTCTCTCTCTCTGTCTCTCTTTCTGTCTCTCTCTCTCTGTCTTTCTCTCTGCAGGTTTGCATCCAAACTGATTGCAGGAGTTTTAGACTTCAAGACGATGATCGATAAGTGAGTCCTGCAGCCGTGAAAGACATTTAAACAGAGAAGTTGCTCCTGTTTTTGTCTGATTTCTGGTTAAACATCATGTTCTCTGTAGAAGTCAGATTGATTTGGAGGTTTTCTCAGTGTTTGATCTGTGAACTGGTTTCCAGTGAGACTCTCCCAGTGGAGTTTCTGGGCGGGAAGCCTCTGTGTATGAACCAGTACTACGAGGTTCTGTCGTCCTGCCGGATCCCCGGCATCAGCAGAGACTCTGTGGTGAACCATGCCAGGAGCCCCCAGCCCCCCAAACACATCACCGTGGTTCACAACTTCCAGGTGAGGAACGCTGCTGGGAACACTGGGATACTGGGAAATCTGCTGGGTTGATGGAGAAGATGCAGTTTGATTCATAAAGGCCAAATTATTCTAGTTTTAGATAAAAACCTTTAACTGGTCCAACTCTGCCATCTGTTGGCTGAAATACGGTACTTTGTAAACGTATTGAGGTGAAAAGTGGGAAAACTGAAGGCCTGAGAGTCTGGATGGTTGCTATGACAACAGCAGAAGATCTTTAATCCTGGAAATTAAGCTGACAGAAGGCTGACTTTGTAACCGTCTTTATGTGGCTCTGGAGGTTCAGGTCAGAGTTCAGCTTGATCTCTGGTGTCTGTCTGTAGTAACTGAAGCTATGTGTTGACTCTGGATCTGTGACTCTGGATCTATGAATCTGGATCTATGAATCTGGATCTAAGGGATGCGTTCACACTGCAGCCTGAAGTGACCCAATTCCGATTTTTTTGATGTAATGCGACCTGTATCCGATCTTTTCATGGCAGTGTGAACAGTACAGGTCGGATTCTTTTTCGAATGTGACCCATATCCGATACGTATCTGATTCAAATGCGACCTAACGTCCAGGTCGCATTCATCCGAACTGAACGTCAGTTTCTCAACAAATCTCAGTATTCTGCGTCCTGATACGCGCAAGCGGGAAGAAAAACAACCACCATGACGGATTATATGAGGATTAAGTTGTTAATATGCTGCTCCGGCCGGACAACAACTTCAAATATGTAAGCTAAGCTCCACCGTTAGCCTCCATGTTTACTTCCAAACACTGAGCACTTCTTCTTTTTATGGCGGTTGGCAGAACACTGAGAACGCTGACGCTATTGCGCCCTCTACTGCGCATGCGGGACACTTTCAAGTCGTTTGCCCGTTCACACTGCAGAACGCATACAGGTCGCATTTACTGGCAGTGTGAACGGCCCAGCAAAAAAATCACAGAATTAGGTCACTTCAGGCTGCAGTGTGAACGCAGCCTTAGACTCTGGATCTAAGACTCTGGATCTAAGACTCTGGATCGTTTCCTGTTTAATAAATGTAGTTTCTGTTCAGCTGGAGAAAGTTTTTCTGTTCAGAATGTGAATCCAGGCCTGCTGCTCCTTTGTTTCATTTTAAGTGTCTCTGCTCCTCCCAGTTCTTCCAGTTGGACGTCTACCACAGCGATGGGACGCCGCTGACTCCAGACCAGCTCTGTGACCAGCTGGAGAAGATCTGCAGAGCTTCACCGGATCCCGGCGCCGAACCCGTCGGGATCCTGACCACCCAACACCGAGACGTCTGGGGGAAATCCTACCTCAACCTCATCAGAGGTCAGAGACACAACCTCCTCTGCAGCTCTTCCTTTATTAGAGGGACAGAAAAGGTTTTCTGTAATCTGCTGTGATGCTCAACTTCCACCACCAGAGGGCAGCGACGCTGCAGAGAATCACAGTTTAGATCAGAGGTTCCCAAACTGTGGGGCGCGCCCCCTAGGGGGGGCGCCGTGTCATTGCAGGGGGGGCGCGGGAAGCCATCTGGATGAAACAAAACAAAACATGAACACTGTATGCGCTGGGTTTTTACCTTAGAATGGCCAACTCTCTGTTATTCCTGTCAATTTGTTACAGTAGAGGCTTCCACACTTCCCATATCTGTGTCCTCTGTCACTTTTA